GGGGGGGGGAGCACGTCTGTTGCAAGCGCGAAACTTCGGCTTGATTGAAACGCACAACTGCGGACCTTGGGACGTGTGCTCCGGAGGGTGTCTGTCAGAAGGGGTTTAGGACGACTCCAGTGCGAGGGGGACTGAGGATTGGGAATCGCTTAGAAGGCAGATGTGTTTCAGATAGCATTTTATCATTGCGAATCTTGAGCAGACGCTGGGAAATGGTTGTCTTGGTGTCCTTTTAGACCTGTTCTCGGGAGACGTTCTTGCGCTGCGGAAACCCACAAGCCAGACCCACAAACTCAAACCGGGCTGCCTGAAGTCGGTTTAGTCTGTGCCTCTAAAATGGCACTTCTAAGCGTCTTATTCCCAAAATTTTCAAAGCAAATGGCGCTGCTCCATCTTCTTTGGTATAAAAAATTTGCATTCAGTGGGATTCGGTGTTAGAGCTTTTCTGGGTCTCTGTCATGCCAGTTTGTTTGGTGGTTTGGGGGGGGGGGGAGAGCACGAGTTTGAAGCGGTGTTTCGAGGGGTTCTCCATTAGCCCCGCGCGGGCTCCAGGATCTGAGGACAACCTCAACAGGGACCTCCTTCCTAAGTAGGCACACCTTCTCCTGCCTGCCCTCGCCACCAGCCCCTCTTCGCTTCCAGTATTCTGCTTGCTTGCTTTGTTCAAAGGGAAAGTGTGGGTGGCAGTCACAGGGGCAGAGAATGCCTGTCCGTGGGCCCTGTGCTGGCCCTCTGATGCTAACCTGTAGATCATGGAGACGTCTAGCTTGGACTGTTTGACCAGTGCTAGCGTTCCACCCTGTCTTATCCAACTAGGAGGAGGGTTGGAGAGGCAGCATCCCAGGAGAAAAATTAAAAAAGAAACATAAGGCCTGATCTACTTCATAGGAAGTTCTTACCATAAAGTCTCTGGCGATTCCTAGGGCACTTCTAGGAAACTGAAAACTCTATGGTAAAACCAGAAGTTCTTACCATAGAGTATCTGGCAGTCCCCAGAGCTACCCTTTGTCGCTTCCAGGTACCTCTAGCAATCACTAGGAACTTCGTTTACAGGAAGCTCTTACCATAGATCAAGCCTTATTTTTCTTTTTAATTTTCTCCTGCTGCAGCTTCCAGCAGCAGTGGGCAGTGGGACCTGGGGGCAGGGCGTCTCCCACCCCTACCAGTTTTGGCAGCCCTGATTGGAGGCCACCCAAACATGTGACCTTCCCCCTTTCCTGGGTAGTGACACTAAGGAGCCACAAGTGCGCAGTATCTTTTTGTGACAGTTAAGCCCATCAAAGTCAGGCTTAATGTCCGCATGATTTGGTTTATAACAGCGTTATAGGCGATGCTCAGCTGGTTCGGGTGCGGGAAAAGAGCTACAGATGCGCTCTTAACTCTCTTCTCCCACAAAGAGGCTCCTGAGTTTTCCACTGTGAGAGACAGAAGCTTATTGGGATACGTGGCGTGAGCTTCTGCCATCAATGAAATCTTGGCAGCCCAAGTATTCTGGGTCATGTTCTCCAGTAGAAAGCGCAGCATTGCTAGAAAAACAGAGGGCAAAAAGCCTTCTGAGCCCTACTCTGAAGATGATAATGTGGTATCTCCCCCGTGCTGGGCCTCCCCCCTCCAGTGCTGCGAAACGTTGAGCGGTTAGTTCGTCTTTGTTGACCAAAGCGCCATCTTCTCCAGTAGGAAATACCAGTGCGCCTGAATCATAGACTTGGAGTCGTCTTGCGTCGAAAGAATCCAGTCAGTCCCTTCTCCAGAAAAGAAGAGCTGGGCACCTGAGGTAGCTTTTTTTGTGGCCTGGATCCCACGGATCTGTTGCCGTTCAGATGTTCTCCATTGTGTTGGTAGCAGGGCACTGGAGCCGGTGATTGTGGGCAGGCAGAAGAAAGGGGGAAGTATCCAGAGGTCACTGCTGGGAATGAAATAGTTTTGAGGTTGGCCCTGATAGCTACTTGGGGCTGAAGCAGGGTTTCCAGGTCCCTCCTGGCAACTGGCGGGGGGTGGGGGGGTACTTACAAGGAGAAAGAGGAAGGCCTAGGCCTGATTGTCAACATCACGGAGGAAGTGACATCGTCAGTCCAGTGACGTCCAGGCAGTGCTCTGGTACTTGGACAAAAACTCTGTGGTAAAACCGCCTTCTGCCGTCAAGTTTTTGCCCAAATACCAGAGCATCACCTGTTTATCGCTGACATGATGACGTCATTTCCTATGCGAAGCTGGTGATGAGGCCTAGGCCGCCTTCTTTCTCTTGGTAAGTCCCCCATGCTGCCTAGCTGATTGGCAGCTGGGGGTAGGGCCTGGCGACGGGGGACTCCACCTCCACTGGGCGGTCTGGCAACCCTAGGCTGTACTGAATGGTATTGAACAGAAGACTTCTGTCTAATTCTCCATTGCAGAGTGTCGTGAGGCCGGCCTGTTTTGCACAGGGAAAATGGGAGGGGCAACTTGCAGGGGAGGCAGAGATGGGACATGCGTAGGCCGCACAGTGGGATGTATATGTGGGCTTCTCCCCCCCCCCCCTCAGAGTTCCCAGATACGTGTTTGTCAAATGAAGTGGGGAAAATGCAACGGGTAGGGTTGTATTAAAGAAACACAGGGAGAGGAAGAGTTAAGCGCACACACCCATTCCCTGCCGCTTTTCTGTGCAACCTTTCCCTCTATATACACATGTGCGTAGATGCATACCCCACTGGTTTTTCAGTGGAGACACCTGGAAGCCCTGGTTTTCAAATCTGTACTTACCGCTAGAAATCTACTTCTGCCTTCTGTGTGAGGCCTTTAAAGAACTCTGAAGAACGGGGAATTTGGGCCCATGCCATTTCTTCCAGCACTGTAGTATTATGAGGGGAGAAGCGGCAC